GCTGAAGTTGGACACTTAACCAACTGAGCCACCCAGACACCCCTTTCAGTCTCTACTTTTGCAAAGCAAAAAGGTCCCTAGTATCCAGATCAATGCCTTCATTGGAAAAAGAGACTCAGAAATTATGCTGAAATCGATAGACTTTACTGTAACTATGAACACTGGCACTATGTATTTAAATAGAAACACCAATAGCCTTTATGATAGTTAAATATTGTAGTTCCATTTTACAGATGAGAACACTGAGGCACAAAAGTTCAACAATAGCTAGAAGTCATAAAGCTAATTAAGTGGTAAATTCAATCTGTGGTCTACCACTGCCCAAAGCTCAAGTTCTTTCCAATAACTACCTAAGAATAAGCAAATTATTTAATTAATACTATAATACATTACCCCAGTGGAATGAACAATACACAGATATTAAAGATGATAAACACTGTATGACTAAAAATATATACATATACACACATGCATGCACGGAGACCCAAATGAGAAAGTAGACAAAAATATAATTGTTACGAGGAGTTGGACTCAAAAATTTTTCAGTAACAAAAAAAAAGTGACCTAGAGATAAAGGGATGTGCCCAGACAAGCAATAAGAGGCAATGTACTGTCCTTAACTGGATCTAGAGCGAAGCTGAAATTGAATAATCTTAGAAAAGAAAGAGTTAACTGAATGTTGGCTGAGGAATCTCTCAGAAGCACACAAACTTGTGCTGACCTAAGACTCAGATTATACTTACTGAATGAATTTTTAAAAACAATAAATTTCTGTTTAAGTAATGATCAGAACATAAGATCAATAATCAACTGTCTGGGAAATCCTGGCTCCACCACTTGCTATAAGAAGTTGTTCCTTCATCTGTAAAATGAAAATAATAGCCTCTACATTTAGAGAAGTTTAACACAAACAACACATTTAAAAAGCACTTAATGCAGCACCTAGCACAAAGTAAATACAAATAGATGTCACCTATTATTACCACCACATATAATTTGGTTGAAAGGAGAAAACAATCCTGGAGATAGTCCAAAGTAGTGTTTTTCAAACTGTGGGGTGAAGTACATTAGAATAAAAATATAAACAATGGATGTGACACAACTTTTTTAGTGGAACAGAGTAAAAAATACAATAGCATTATGCACAGCAAAGGTAAGTACTATTTGGTGAAACTTCTTAGTTTTGTGTGTGCCCAAACACCTGACTCTACGTAAAACTTCAAGTCGTACCACGGGAGTGACAGTCAAAAAATGTGAAAGGCAAGGACTCAGAGAAAAATTATTTTGTTTCCAAATGAGGAAAATACAGCCCAAACTAACTGCTGTAACCTTTCAATAATAAAGATTCCTTAAACCACGAACACATTTCTTACAAACTGCAGGAAAACAGCATCATCAAGTTAGAAAAAAAAATTTCATATTTTTCAATCAAGTTTAGAATATGCAGTATATTCAGAGTAGAAACAAGGGTAGAGATAATTCAGGCTCTAGTTATTTCTGACCAACATCCAGTCTCAGCCAACAAGCCTCAAGAAAAAAAATCTATTGGCTGTATATAAAAGCCTGAGAACCATAAAATTCAGTATAACTCCAACAAACTACTAGTGAAAAAGAAAAAAATCAGACGTTGTGGTATTCTGGAAAGAGTCAGAAAGACCTGGTTTTGATTCTGGGTCCAGCCATGTAACACAATTCTGGGCAGATTACGTAACCTCTGTAGGGCACAGTGTCCTCCTATGTAAAAACGACATGGTGGTTATCTACTTCAGAGGTTTCAGTGAGAACTGAATTAGTTCTTGCACATGGAATGACTAGTGTTATCACCTGCAACAGGACAGGTGCTCAATAAATATTCCTAGGAGCAGCACTCTCCCTACTATTACAGCCTATATTCAAAATTAATGTAATCTGTCAATGAAAACAACTATGTCAAAGCAGCCAGAGGAAACCATGCAATTCTCTAATATAAAATAGCAGAAGCAGTAGGCCGATAAAGGTACAAGACCCCCTTGGAAGGCATCAGTTGGAAAAAAATACGTGCCAACAACAGACTGAGTTTGGCTTTTTGTCCTGTCACTAGCTAAATGACTATAAAAAATATAAATGTGAATATAGTCTTGCAACATGCCTGATAGACAAAGTAGTCTACAAATTATTAAGAATCATTCATCAAAAACTCTTATTTCAATGAAGAATAGTTTCAGGAGAAGGTAAAGAATAAGAATATTTGGCCTGTGACACCTGTAGAATTCAGTTTGAGGCAGTCAAAGTAACAAGATACTCTGCTATTCACTAACAGTATAAACTTTGACAAATTTAGTTAACTTCTTTAAACTTCAAGGATTTTTAAACATGAAAAGGGGGATTAATAGTATACATTACATCTTATAAGGCTGTTAGGATTAAATGAGATAACATACAGACATCTCAACCTAGTAACTGACACATAAGTAGCTCACTAAATAAAGCTATACAATGTCTGAGAATCTTTGCATCTACGATTGCGTTTAGAGAAAACTTCTCTGTAGTGATGGTACGGTAGTATCAAAGACTCTTAAAGCTGTATAGCACCTTAGTATCTAATCCAGTACTCACACCAAATTTAGAACCACTTTTATAGTACATCTGCAGTTCCCGCCTAGTGACATAAGGCTTAATAACTCATAACTAATCAGCTCCAGTGGTTACAAAAGCCTCCTGTGAACTAACCCTGAATCTCCCTTCTGATACCTTCCCTCTCCTGTTTCAATTCTGCACAATATTTATCTCTCTCATGATAAAATATTCGAAGGTAACTAAACCAACTTCCCTTCCACCTATCTTCTTCAACTATTAAATGGTATTTCTTGATCTATTCTGGCTCTTTTTTTTTTTTAATATTTATTTTGAGGGCAAGCAAGAGCGAGCGAGCGAGCAAGCACACAGGGGAGGGGCCGAGAGAGGAAGAAGAGAATCCCAAGCAGGTTCAGCGAGGTCTCACGACCCTGGGATCATGACCTGAGCTGCAATCAAGAGTTGCATGCTTAACCGACTGAGCCACCCAGGTGCCCCCTGGCTAATTTCTTTTAAGTATGATACCACCAAATGGACATTGTCCAGATATATTACTGTGTTAATGGAATCTAGTGTATTTTCTTAGTTTCCTATTTCTGCAAAAACACATTACCACAAACTTAGTAGCATAAAAGCAACACAAATGCATCTTGCAGTTCTGGAGGTCAGAATCTCTAGTCTGAATTGAGGTGATAGCAGGGCTACATTCCTTCTGGAGGCTCTAGGGCAGTATCTATTCCTTGGCTTTTCCAGCTTCTACAGGGTGCCTACGTAGACTCCTTTGGCTTACGGTCTCCTCCTCCATCTTCAAAGACAACGGGGTGGCATCTTCTTCCATCCTCCCTGACCTCTGTGTTTGTTGTCACATCACTTTCTGATTCTCCTCCCTCTTTTGTGTAAGGACGCTTGGGATTACATTGGGCTCATCTAGATAATTCAGGATAATTCACCCATCCTAATTAATATTCTTAACCTAATCAAATCTTCAAAGTCTCTTGTAAGGTAACATATTAACAGGTTCCAGGATTCTGAAGGGGGGGGGCTTATTTATGGTCTCCAAAAACAGCAGTGCTTAATCCATTAACTCACATCTATAATCAACCAAAACCCTCAAACTGTTTCCAATGGAATCTCTCTCAAAACTAGATCTTCATGTTGACTTTATGTTGGTTTCAGACAGTCCTTTCAATCTACTCAGGCCATCTGGAAATAATTTTCTGCCACTTGATGTAGTAGCTACTCCAATCAGCTCGTAAATTTCATTAACGTGCTTTATATGCCTTCCTCCAACTCAATGTTTTTAAAAATAAGAACAGGACCTACTTGTGGGATGACCCTGATATTCCCTGGACACTGCCAGTCAGCTAAAATTCATTTAACACTCCATCCTGTCTATATTTTTCTAATTTATTCATAATGAAATCATGACAAATATCTTTCTGAAATATTTGGTTTACAGTCCTCACTACACAAAACACACTTCACAAAAGAAAAAAGATTAATATATTCTGCTCTGAATTGTTAGTGAATCTGTTCTGACTCCTAGACTAGAAATTTCTAGTTGTTCATAAAACAAACTAACAACCATCACAGATGAAATACTGGCATTGAGTCTACAATTTCTGGAATATGCCTTTTCCTATTTTTTTAAAAAGATCTGTCAAAGCAGTAAAAGAATCAGAAGATCATTCTAGTCTAAGTAATTCTTCTAACCTTAAATCCCTCAATGTTTTCTTTAGGAATCATTCAATGGCATACTTACCACTACCTTTTCTCCCCTAAACTTTAAAATATTTGCTTTCCTAACATTTATTTTATAATGAATTATATCGATCATACATGTAGTATTCCTTCCTTCCTATTATCACCTCCAAGATGACAAATTTTGCCTTAAGCTCCTGTTATTAATACTTAACTACAAACTTTAAAGAAAAATATGAATGCTTCCAAAAGGAAACACGTACACTTACAGGCTAGTATTCAAATCTTCCTCCTGATAGATGCAGATATCAAAGCATTTAATTCTAGTCTTTCTTCCTCTTCATTCAACTCAATGTATCAGACACATGAGCTTCAACCAAATCAAGTTAACTCCAACATAACTTGAATGTTTATTAGTAACATATAAACACTTTACAGAAGTACACATCAAATTTCCTAACAGAAGATAATTAGGAAAAAAAAAACTTTAAAATCCTCTTTTCTGCAAAGATGCTTTGTCTATCTAATTACAGCCTGAAGATAACTCTGTAAAAAAAAATTCTTACTGCTGGAACAATTAGGAAAGGGATAGTTTACAGTTCCTTTTTACTTGGCATTTCACTTTATGCCTTTGTATACACTTTACCAAATGTTTGTTGGAACTAATACTTTCGTAATACTGGGTAATTCAGGGGCACTTGGGTGGCTCAGTGGATTAATTATCTGACTCTTGGTTTTGGCTCAGGTCATGATCTCAGTTTGTGGGTCTGAGCCCCATATCAGGCTCCATGCTGACAATGTGGAGCTCACTTGGGATTCTCTCTCTCCCCCTCTCCTGCTCTTTCTCTCTCTCAAAAGCAAATAAATAAACTTAAAAAAAAAAATACTGGGCAATTCAACATGATGGGGGAGGAGTTGGGAGGTACAGAGGGTTGCAAAACCACCACACATTAAACAATGCCATCCTGCCAACTATGCCATTCTACCTGAAAGCAGAACACGTACAAGATGGTGAAACTGAAAAATACGTACAGGAAAGTAACTCAATTAACAAAGAAAACCCCAACAGCTGATTAATAAATACAGAAAAAAAGTTCAACCTTACCAATAATCAAAGAAGTACAAAGTAAAACAAACAGACACAATTCTTCAATTATCTAACTGGCACAAAGGTAGATCAGCATCAAGCAAAGGCGGCACTGCCCTCTGCTGATGAGACCTAATTGGTGAGCTTTAATTCCAGAAGGAAATTTAAACCTATGTACCAAGAACTAAAAAATGTCAGTATCTTTTAAACTAAGAATTCCACTTCTAGAAGTTTATCTAAAACAATAATCATTTGCACTCAAATCTTCCATGATTTGAAAATTAGAAAAAATATTAATGGTATTCAGTGGGATATTTTCTTTTATTTCCTAAACTTATATACTTGTATTAATATTAAAATTGAAATACTCAAACCCATTGACTTAAAAATGAAAAACTTTGTATGAAACAAAGTTTCTCAACTTTTGATTATAAATATAAGTAAATAAATAGAACCATCATTATCAGATACAGCTTATTCATTACTTAAACCTTGTCTCTGAAATTAACACTTATATCCAAGTCAATGGCTTGTAAATCTTCAATAAAATTTTTCAAAATTATTAAAATATTTAAAAATCAATTTTAAATTTGTTCCTTTAAATCTTTATAATAAGGGATACCTTGTGGAAACAAAACCCAAATTTAAGAAATCACTGTATTTAGTATAGACTTTGTTGACCTTTGTGCATTAAACAAAGTATCCCTTTGGGGTGCCTTGGTGGCTCAGTCGGTTGAGTGTCCGACTTCGCTCAGGTCATGATCTCACAGCTCGTGAGTTCGAGCCCCGCGTCAGGCTCTGTGCTGACAGCTCGGAGCCTGGAGCCTGCTTCACATTGTGTCTCTCTCTGCACCAACCCACTCGCATTCTGTCTCTGTCTCTCTCAAAAATAAACAAACATTAAAGAAAGTATCTCTTTAATTACTGACATACACTTCACTGCCAAGCAAATTGTATTTACTTTCTATAAAGTCAAAAGTCCTTTGAAACCCAAATGATTAACCAATTTTCCACTTGCTTAGAGGAAAGTATACAGACAAGACAGTCTGGCATTAATATGAAATATTCTTAAGATGGAGCAAACTTACAAGGCTTTATTTTTTTTTTAATGTTTTATTTATTTTTGAGAGAGAGAGAGACAGACGGACAGACAGACCGCAGGTAGGGGAGGGGCAGACAGCAAGAGGGAGACACAATCCAAAGCAGGCTCCAGGCTCTGAGCTGTCAGCAAAGAGCCCAACGCGGGGCTTGAACTCATGAACCAGTGAGATCATGACCTGAGCCAAAGTCTGACACTTAACCGACCGACTGAGCCACCCAGGCGCCCCTACAAGGCTTTTTAAAACAAAGAGTCAGGAAAAAGAAACTATTCCCTGTTCCTACTGAGCAGTCTTTCATTTGACTTAAACACTACAAAATAGTTCCACTGATTTCTCTATAAAATTCACTCTTCAGATTTCTCATGATTCCTATCCAGATATTTTTACAAGTAACAATGCTGCACAAAGTATTCTCAAGTTAAAAAAAAATTTCATACTTTTCCTACATTGCTTTATCTTACTACATCCTACATCCTCCTACAAACACTCGAGCTTTTCTCCTAGTTCCAGAATAGAGAAATGCACTACAAAATACACATGTAAGTGCAAATGAAAACTGTTAACATTAAATACAAAACCACTTTTGATTTAACTACTTATATTTCTGTGTGAATTAAGAAAACAGCATTATAGCAAACGGTTTAAACTTCATATGTTTTATTCCCCACTTTTTAATTCTATCACCCACCCCTATTTGTTAATATTTCCTGCTGGCAGAACAGATTTTCTAAGCAGTTAATTTCTGACAACTTATTCTATACAATATGCCCTAATTTATTATTCTTCGTTTAAGACTAACTCTCCTACAATTTCCAAGGGTCCACCTTTCACTCAAACTTTTAAGTTTTAAGTTGGTTGGCTGGCCAGCCAGCCAACCAGCCACTCAAACTTTTCACTTTACAACCAAAGCTGCCTCTCTTTAGCAGGGCTTTTATTTAACCCATTCAGTTCCAGCTTAGGACAACAGGTCATTTTTTTTTTTAGTCCTTACTTACATTTTGGTTCACTGAACTGCAATCAATCCTCCACTTCTTCCTTTTCACTTGACCAAGAAACAGCCAGGTGGCAATTTTGGGAAATGGCAAATATTTTATCCATGGCACTGCTCTATTTTACTAGCACCAATGCCAGATTTCAAAATTACTTTTACTGTACCTCACTAGTGAACTTTATGTCTTCCCTCCCAAAATTGGCCAGAAAACATTTTTGTGAATTAAGTATTTCCTCCTAGACTTCAATAGAAGAAATAAAACTTGGTTCCTGGATATAAAATCATTTGATTAGAAGAAAAAATAAAAATTACCCATACTTTATATATTTTATTTATAATCAGTTATTTCCACAAAGTTGTCATGACTAGATTTATGCACAAGCATGGGACTAAAATTAAAAATGTTAGCATTTAAAAAATCCCCAAACCAATTTAAAATTTAAATAGTGATTATAAATTAGTAAAAGAAACATACATGTCTAAAAGCATATCTTAAATTTTAAACATGGATCATCTATGGATGACTTAAAAACTTACCAAACTTCATTATTCTTAAATTTTTACAAATCCTTCCAAAAGTATACATTATAGTACACTCACTACCATGCTTCAAATGTACAAAAGCTGTTTAGCGAGCCCTCTCCCCTCATAAACACTCCAGTAGACAAAAACTAGCTGCTCAAAAGCCTTCAGAGTAGCCAGGTGGGACTATGGACTGAGCTCAGAAGGGTACTTACAGTACTCCGTCATATCTCAGAATTGCCATTCTATACGGTGTGACCGTGGTCAATTCACACCATCTCTTCAGTTTCCTTACGTTTAAAATGGAAAGAATGCAAAGATACCCATATACAACTCCTAACCCATTAGCTGACATCTGGCTGGTAGTTAATGGGCAAATGCAGGAATCATTTCCTGTCCTTCCTGTGAACTGTTCCCACTGGGTAACTTCTTAAAAG